CCTTAATGGGGACAGAAGAAGAGAGCCAGGATGTCCTTCCAAAGACTCAATGAAATCAAGATACCCTGTTCTAATAGCACATTCCACTTGGCAGAGCCAGCCGGGATTCCCCACAGTAGCGAGAGCTGCTCAGCAGAACACATGGGAATCCTGATATCCCTTTGTTAAAGGATTCTGCAGCAGTTATGTTACTGCAGCAGGTGGGCGCGTTTGTTTTACCTTGAGGATCTACTTCTTTAGCCATTTTAAGAGCATCCGAGTTTGCCAGATCCATGTTGGCTGGAGTCACCGCAAGAATCAGGCTGCTTTCTCGGCTGATAAACTGCAAGATCATGTCCTTGATCTGGTACTCAATATCTTGGGGCTGGTCTCCTACCGGCACCTTGGTGATACCCGGAAGGTCGATCAACGTCAGATTCAGCACTGAGGAGAGAGAAAAGCAGAGAGCTCATGTGGTGTGAAGCGATGCAGAACATTTTATCCCTGCAGTGTGTGGGGGAAGGAAGGGGCGTGAGCAGGGGGTGCACAGAGGACCAGCTAGGATATTCTGTTTGTCCTCCGTAGATCACTGCAAAGCTTGTTGCTCGGGAACAGATCCTGGTCTTTGGGGACCTTCAAACCTCCCTCTGAGATGCTGTTTCTTTTCCATTCATTGAAGTGTCACCCATTTCTCTAGTCTTTGCATTTAGAAGCCTGCTGACATACGCGCTCTGATCGGAAGAACGCAAGTCTCACTCACCATGTGGTGAATATACTCTCAGGTTGATGGGAACGGGAGAGATTCCTTTATTGGTTCCTGTGGCCCGGTCTGTCTCTGCTTCGATCTCCTGCCGAACCTCGTCAAAATCCGTGAACTTTTTGGATTTGCAGTGCAAAAACTCTGCATATTCTGGAAGAGAGATACCCCCCAGGTTTGTAACAAGACACACCGGTTTGCAGCTAGCCTTCCTTTACCAGCAAGAGGGCCAAGTTCAGCCCCAGTGTAAACAGACCCAGGCCCCAGCAGACTTGCTGCTTACACCAAGACTGAACATGGTCCTTGCCCTTTGAAACTCAGCAGTGCAGCATCAGCCCTGTGGGAGCCCACTGAGCTACACACCAGAGAAGAGATGCTGGTGCAGAAAGCAGTCATGAAGTCACACTACGCTTTGTGAGCATGATGGGGATTCAGAGCTGGGGGCAGGAAGACAGGACAGTCTAATGCAGGAGAGTTGGGCCAATCAGGAGAATGCAGCAATGATGGCTAGAGACTGATTCAAAGCCCCACCACATTCACCCACCCCCAGAGGTGACACTGCCTCTCAGGAGCACCACACTTGTGGGTGTACAAAAAATGATGAGAGCTGCCTCTCTCAGTACTGTGGAACAGAAGAACGGCCATACTGGGTCAGACCAAAGGTCCATCCAGCCCAGTATCCTGTCTTCTGACAGTGGCCAATGCCAGGTGCTTCAGAGGGAATGAACAGAACAGGTAATCATCCAGTGATCCATCCCCTGTCCCTCATTCCCAGCTTCTGGTAAATAGAGGCTAGGGACACCATCCCTGGCAGATAGCCACTGATGGACCTATCCTCCGTGAGCTTATCTAGTTCTTTTTTGAACCCTGTGATAGTCTTGGCCTTCACAACATCCTCTGGTAAAGGTTGACTGTGTGTTGTGTGAAGAAAAACTTCCTTGTGTTTGTTTTAAACCTGCTGCCCATTAATTCCATTGGGTGACCCCCTAGTTCTTGTGTTAGGATAAGGAGTAAATAACACTTCCGTATTTACTTTCTCCACACCAGTCATGATTTTATAGACCTCTAGCATGTCACCAGGAAGTGACCGAATTATTTCCAGTGCTCTTCCAACAGCTACCAGAGGGGGGAGCACACCCTCCCAGAAACAGGGTTTCAGACCTTAACTCACAGCTAGAGCCAACCCTCATCCTGTTTGCTACAAGCACCTTGCCTTCAAATTCAGCCAAGCCTCTGGCGCAGGGACTCGGTTTATACAGCACAGAACACAACTGAAGTGCTCGCTCCTGATTAGGATCTCTGGGTGCTTGGGGAAGAAGAAATGGAGGTTGAGCTGCCTTCCTTGTAAAGGTCCAGGAGCCCACACGGCAGAGGTCAGGGCACAGAGAAGTCGCTTTCCAAGGAGGACATGGGCCTGAGTTGTTTGGTTCCCCTACCCAGCCAGCAAGCTCTTCGATTGCGGCCCCTTTGTGCTGCCCAGAGGGAAACAGTCCCTGCCCCAAAGAGCAGACAATCTAAATAGACGAGGGGTAGGAGGAGAAACTGAGGCACAAAAGGAAGCAATGTTCAAGGTCCCCAGCATGTCAGTGGCAGAGCTGGGAATAGGACCCAGGCGTCCTAGTGCTGCACACCAAGTACACTTGAAGAGGGGGTGAACTGCCATTTCGCTTTCAAAGGGAACGTCCGTAGCCCGTTCCCCTGCAGAGCTTAGACACCAATAATCAACCTCTTCCCAAACCGAGGCTGCAGAGTCCACCTGCCTTTAAGATTCCAGGTGCAGGGCACAGCCCAGGATCTGCTTCCCCTTTAAGGTCATTAAGGAGCTATGTTGCTGCCTGCCATAAGCCACGGTAACTGCAGGACAATACAGATTTCTCTCCTTATATGAACACTACAACGCCTCTTACCGTGGAGCCCGGATTAGCCATGCAGACTCCTGCCAGCCCTCCACGGACTCTGCGCTGCTGTACGTTACAGCTGCACTGCTCTAGTCAAGGCCATTACAGGAACAGAGCCACCCGTGAACAGAGATGATTCCTAGTGTTGCTCTTGCGCCTCTCACATCAGAGGGCCAAGACTGGTCTATGCTGGACAGTTAATTTGGATTAAAGGTAAGGGGGGTGAATGTGAAGTGCAAGAGCTGTTCCTGGATAGCTCCATGTGTAGACACACCCACTGTGCTTTGTAGGTGGCCCTCTCTAGCCCACTAAAGGGGAAGAACAAGGAAGCTTTATTCTGTGGCAAGTGGAGCAGAGCCAGAGGTTCAAGCTGGCCAAATAGTCATGCTGTGAAAGCCAGCAAGCAACGCAAGGAGTGGCCCTCCCTTCCGCAGAGATCACCCAGTTGTGTGTGTTTATTTGGGGCTGCTGCTAATCAGGGATTAAACCAGTCTAGCAGTCTCCTCTGGCTAAGGCGGAAGGAGCGAGACAATGGAAGCCAGCAGGCTCTATAGGTTAAGGTTCCACCAGCCAAGATTTTTCTTGCAGCCTCTGTGCTATTAACAGCTGCTTTGATGTGGCCCTGAAGTGAAGCTTTCCGTTCCAGAAGGGAAACGGCCCGTGGGGGAGATGCTGGCACACACTGGGTGTTGGTTCCGGCACTAGGGCTAGCTGGTGAACCTAGACATCAATGCCAGTGTTTGTTTGCAGAAGGACTGTTTGCCTTTCATTCTCTGCCCATCATTTTCAACACTCCATTGCTGGGTTTTTGAGCCCTGAACAAAAGGTCTGAGTCTAACCTGCCAAGACACTCATTGGCTGCATCTGAATGGCTGAGTGGACTGGGAGGAAACAGATTGCAACGTTCTAGGCGCAGGTTCTGATCAGCCCATCACTCAGGTGTGTGAATGCCAGGTGAGAGTCACGGCGTGACCACCGAGAGATCCCTTAGGGCCACCAAGCCAAGAAGGAGCAGAGACAGCTGCATGTTTAGCCCACACCACTTGCTCCCATTCAGGGATCTATCGGTATTGCAGGTGTCACTGCCGATCAGCCCTGCTTGGATCTGTGCTGACAAAAGTTCACTTCCAGTGAGGAGCAGCAGGTTAGTGCTGTCCAGTCTTTAAACACTAATCCTAGACATCGCTGGGAGGGAGGTGGGTCTCCTCCCAGAGGGGAAACGGAGGCATGGAAGTGTGTCTGTCTGTGTCTCTCACTCACACACTCCCGCAGCTCTGCCACTAGTGGGTGTGGGTGTACGTACATATTTTCTTACAATCCAAATATAGGGTCACAGGGACCATTGTGATCTAGTCTGACCTCCCATACAACACAGGCCAGAGAACTTCTAAGATAAACGTTTAGACCCCCCCCCCCCCGCCCTCCGACTCACACTTCGGTACCAAATGCCACTTAGACGAAATACACAGCATCAAGACAAGACCATCCCTCTCTGCCCTGCCCCGTCCCATCTGGGTTAGCAGTGCAAGGAAGGAGAGCCTCGGTTCTCCCCTCCCCTAGGCTCTAAGGAATTTCAATAGCTGGACCAAGGAAAAGCGTCAGACAGACTGAGCCTCTTCTGGGATCCCATGGGTCACGCTGAGGAGGCGTCTCATCACTGCTTATGAAGAGCCCATTCAGTGAATGGGGCCAAGGGGTTTGCAGGCTGGAACCCTCTGGGAGAGCAGTCATGCTAACTGGAAGGCCTGATGTCGGGGGCGCTCTCTCTCTCATGATACTGATGCCCCTAACTGGCATATTTGGTAATAGTATCGTGGTACCACCCGGGAGCCTCCTCATGGCCCAGGATCCCATTGGGCTAGGCGCTGCACAAACACAGGCCCCGCCACCAAGGGGGGGTGGAGGGTCTATCAATGCAAGCTCATGTGACTCTGGGCCTGCACTGCCTCCCTCTGGGAGAGAGGAGCAGGAATTGAGCTGGTAGAAAGTTTGAAAGCAGTTCTGACCTCACTGGCATTTCCCAGAAACAGGTTGTTTTTTACATGAGGGCAACAAAGTTAGGAAAAGAGTTTAATCACTAGCCCTGGTCACCTGCCTTCAGGGCCATGAGAGCAGGCTCTGCCCCACTGGCACCCCAAAATAGCTGGCCGGTTGTGGGGCACATTTCAAGAACTCCTGGTCTAATCTGCTCTGTAGCTTGCACCCATCCAGTCCCAGAGCAGTCTCCATCCAGTCAGAGGAAGACAAGAGGGAACACCAGAGAGCTACTGATTTGGGATTTAACAGCCCCCAAGTATTGACAAGAGCAGCATGACTCCTGGGAAATGCGAATGCCTCCACACCCAGCATGTTCTGCACTTCAAGCAGAACTCTCCAGTCATCACTTGCACGGAGCATCACATTGCACTCTAGCAGAAAACGTAGCAAGATTTGACTGCAGCTGAAAATCACTTCCCCTCCTTTATCTATCAGCCAAGACCTGCCGCTCAGGTTTCACTTTCTCCTGCAGCCAACCACCAAACTGCAGGCACCAGCTGTTAGACAAAGAACCCTGGACTTGGGTCTTGGGAGATTAAGAGCTTGGAGGCTCACCTTCACCAGTGAGCTATTTTACTGCAGAGACAGCGTTTAAATATTAACCCAGCCACATTCCTCCAACCTTAGGGATGCCTTCGAATGGGTGGTTGGCTTGAAATGGCTGAACTGAACTATGCTGGATGCACCAAAAGCAGCTGCTGCCTGTATGCATGCAAGGCAGCAAGCAAATCAGGAAGGTCCAACCCGAGAACTTTGGCCTTATTTCAAACACCTGCACAAGTCTCCTCAGTGCTAGCAACAGTGCCTGTGCTAAGTTCTAGATCAGTGGGTCTCAACCAGAGGTCCGGGACCCCCAGGGGGTCCTCCAAGCATGACTGGCATTCGACTCGCTAGGGCCCAGGGCAGAAAGCCAAAGCCCAGCCACACAAGGCTGCAGCCCAGGACCCCGAGCCCTGCCACGTGGGGCTGAAGCTGAAGCCTGAGCAACTTAGCTTTGTGGGGCCCCCTGCGGCACAGGGCCCCAGGCAACTGCCCTGCTTGCTACCCCAATGCTGGTCCTGGCTTTTGTATGCAGAAAAACAGTTATGGCACAGCTAGGCTGTGGAGTTTTTATAGCATGTTGAGGGGCCTCAGAAAGAAAAAAGGTTGAGAACCCCTGCTCTAGAGGAGAGTTTAGGGCCCCCAATCCAAAGCTCACTGAAGTCAAGGGAAAGATTCTTCCATTGATTTTAATGGGCATTCAGCCCAATAGGAGGGCCCAGCACAGTCACTCCATTGGTAGTGCAAGCAGCACTGCGTCATGGCAACTCCAACTAATCCTACTTGCCTACACTGCTCCGGAAACAAATCCACAGCGCTCCAGCGGTCCCTGAAGTTGGTCCTGTGCAACAGACTCCTCCCCAAGCCAGCCGAGACTGACTCGCTTCCAGCTGCCTGACCCCTGCCCTGCCCCGCCCCTTGCTCCTCCTCCAGCCTTTGTCTCAATTCCCGCGCCAAGAGTCACCTGGTCGCATCCCCCTCCTGGGTCTCAGGTTACGAAGGGGCGGCCATAGCATCCCTGCAGGCAGCTGGAGCAGCCCCCACAAAAGTCACACATGCTTATTCCCACTACCTAGACATTGGTGCAATACACAGGGAAACTGAGGCACACACAGCATTCGTTGAAAACAGTAAGACTCACATACAACACGGGAAAATCCCCACTTCGTCACACAAACCAATGAGCACAGTTTGACTGAAATTTCGCTAACTCTTCATGTACTTTGGACACCAGCTATTAGGATTATTGCTCCAGGAAGCCTTGAAGATGCAGCCACATTTGGGGTGTAAGTTTCAGTCAATGCTCCAAAGAGAAGTCTGCCAAGCTGCAGTAGCTTTCCATAATATTTAATAACGTGCTTGCTTATTGGGCTGGCGACAACCATCTCATCTGCAGGTCAATAGGAACAGACCCTGAGTAGCGACTGCTCCCAACCTGTTGTCAGGGGTGGCAATGCACGAATTAACTGCTGGCAGGTCTATTCCCCCACTTCCCTCGGAGATCTGAATGGAAAGTTCTCTCTCCAAAAGAGTTAACCCGTCTTGAGTGCAATACAGAATTCACACCTGACAGCACAGCCCCAGGGTCCTTTGCCATCGACTGTTGTGACTGCACTTCTCCAAACCCAATGGGTAGAGAGGCCCACCCACCTCTCCTGGAAAAAGGACAAAGCAAGGGAACCCTCATGCATATTTCATCCAAAGGAACACAACAAGAGAGATCTTCCCAGAGATCAGGTTCACGGGCATTTTAAGCATGTGCTCAGGTTAGAGTTGGGCTTGTTTTTAGCCTTTTCACATTTATCACGATCCGTATCTGGGGCAGAGAGCCATGATCCAATAGCAAGGTCTGTTTCTACGGTTTCCGTACTTGTGGGACCTTAGAGACCATCACTCGCACAGTAACAAGGAACGGTTAGACTGGCAGGAGAAAAGATATAGGCCATGGTTTTATAAGCAAGTTTGTTTTGTGAATAGTTGAAGTTCTGCAAAAATCACATCCGCTCACACCAGGAGAATGGGGTTGCCCCTGTGCTTTGGGATCCCTAAATGCTCATGATCACGTAAGAAAAGCTATGAAGTGTCACAATGCCTCAAAGTTGTATTTTTATTGGATTAAAAAGCACTGCCATCACGATCTGGTGGAGTAAGTTAAACCCCCTCTAAAAGGCAACACTGGTAAAGCAGCAACTCCCTGACCTTTTCATTGGGAGAATAGGAATGGCTTTGTGTTAACGGACCACCACGTCACAGCAGCAGCAGGGAGCTCAGTCTGACAGCTCCATTTGGTCTTTCACATGGGAACAGATCAATTTGCCCAACTCTCTCTCTGCTCTGAGGAATAGCAGCATGAAGCTGCATGACCCAGGAGGGACTGAGGCCAGGGACAGAGAAGAAAATGCAAACTAACAAGGAAAAGGAAACTTTCTGGTAATGTTAATGCCTGCAGTGATAGGTTCCCTGCCCAGACCAGAAGTGGGTTTGTTAAAACCTTTAGGGCTACAGCTGGTTTTCAGACATCACATATTTCCAAGATTTTAGGCTAGAAGAAACCATTATGACAATCTACCCCTCTAGAAGAGGCCAGAGTTTTGTATTTGTGAAGGGCTGGATTTATTTAGGGGAGGGATAGCTCAGTGGTTTGAGCATTGGCCTGCTAAATCCAGGGTTGGGAGTTCAATCCTTGAAGGGGCCACTTAGGGATCTGGGGCAAAATCAGTACTTGGTCCTGCTAGTGAAGGCAGGGGGCTGGACTCAATGACTTTTCAAGGTCCCTTCCAGTTCTAGGAGATAGGATATCTCCATTAATTTTTATTTTTATTTTTTTTTAAATCAGAAGAAGTTCATTTGGACTAATCGATACTGCTTAACTTACAGTGTAAACTGACAGACTAATGCAGAAGTGATTTGCCAGAGTTTCCACCAAGTTATCTATGCCTGTGGTACACGTTCTTGATTAGCTGCACGCTGAAATGACAGCACTAATGCCAAATTACACAAAACAAGCCTCCTAGCTCATTTGCCACTTACAAGGCGGCTTTCATCTCCTGAGCAGCACATTTGCTTTGCAGCAGCTTACAAAAAACCACCACACCCCCCAACACCCACCTTGTTCCACGAGCATTTAAGAGAGCCAGAGCGGTTCCCTACATATTCATAAACTTGTTAAGTGGCAAGACTACAAGGGTCTTGAACACAGACAGACATTCAAACAGATTTGCACTTTTTCTGATCTGCGGTGTATATCGAAAGCAGCATTTGCCAAGGGTACTAGACTTGTTACCCAAATGGAAGAGGAAACTTTAGGCATCCCCAAGCCCACATCCGTAAGGGAACAGCTGGTGTTTTGATTTATGGAGCAACAAGCTGTTCAGCCCCCCACTGTACCTGTTTTTGAGAAGATTAGCTGAAGAATAAGAGGACGTCGGGTGACAATTCCAGACCCACGGGGAAGAAAGTCTCTGTAGGGAAATAAAAGAGATGGAGTTACTCACAAGGCTAAACAACTAAGGCATTCAGAGACTACAGTGAGCAGTAGCATACAAGCACCGTATTATTTGTATAATGGTAACGCCTAGAGATTCCATTGTGACAAACCCTGTACGTGCTTCCTGGCCCTGCTGAGCTTACAATCTCCTCCATTTTACAGATAAATCATTTGTCTTTTGTTGTACCTCAGTTCCCCAAAGACACTGGGGATCTGTGGCAGAACCCAGCGCCCTAGCCACACCACCATCCTTCCATTCAGTTTTTACCCAAGTCTCCCATATTCACAGTTCTTAGAGAGGAAACCAGGAAACCTCATTACAGGAATGAGTTTCTCATTCTCCTGACTACCAGGACACAACCTCTCCTGAGGCCTCTGGAGAGGATGCCGCCAGTTTTATACTACAGCAGAGCTGGGGTAGATAGAAGGAGCTGTATTGACATGCACATCATGCTCTAGTATCTGAAGAGACAAGCAGCACTGTCAAACAGAGGGACGGACAGCTCCCGTGTCCTCAGGTGCCCCTTTGCCTTACAGCTTGTAAGTGGTTGATATCAAGGTTCACAGCAGAAGGGTCTGGTTTTCCAGCCACCAACGTTTTAATAATGATCAGAGATTGCAGGGTTGTTAAAAATTGTGTGCTCATCATGGTGAACTCAAAGACAGACAGTTTAACAGGGGAAAGAGACTCAGTCATTTTCTTTTTATTCCTGGAAGCCACACGGGCGTAAGTGATTCGAATTATTTCCCAGAAGAGCTGGATTTCTGATGAATTGCAGAAGACAAAGAGCTGGCAACACTCCTTGGACACAGACAGAGCTCTTGGAGTGAGTCAACCCCACCCTTTTCTATTGGGTAGAAACTCAAGTGTGCAGAGCCATTGTGAGAGTCCAACATGTAGGCCTCTTCTGCCCGGAAATGGTGCTCCTCCACATCCTAGACATGCTGTTTTGTTAGAGACAATTACTGCAGCCTGAACGGCTCCAGTTCTTCTCTAAGACAGCACTGAGAAGAGTTAGACAGAGCTGCTAGGGCAGGAGTGAGGGGCACGTCATGCAGGTTTTCTGAGCCGTTCTTTTGTCTAGCATTCATGGCTTCACCTGCTTTGAAATGGAAGAGAGAAATGCTGCCTAGGAAAGACTGTGCTGAGAGCTTTCCCATTTGTTTCAGCCAGACAGTCATCTGGCCTTCTCCAAATCCCCCTACAGTGGGAAGCTTTTGGCCTTCCTACTCCTATAGCTTCCACTATCGCTGTGATGCGCTGCAGCTGTGCCATTTACTCTCTCAGATAAGGGGTAAGATAAGCACATCACCACAGTGTGAAGAAGCCTGCCAGGCATCTCCATTATTTTGCCCTTTAGCTATTACACATGTGAGTGACATTTGTGTACAGTTGTGTTAATTTTGCAGACTAGGTGTGCAAACTGGCAAGCCTGGCACACTGGGTGCCCTCATTAGACCCCAGGGTTAACAGACTATGACACACTTTTCCTCTCAGGTCTGTTTCAAGCTGCCTGCAGACTCAGGAAGATGCCAGGGAGACCCCACTTCACATTTGCAAGGTTAGCGTCTAAAGTGGAAGCTTGAGTTGTGCAGAATCTGACCATCATGGGTGGCTACATGGGCCAGTGCCAAAGAGCAGGCTGGGGGCTAACACCATTCTGCCCAGCTGGTGTCTTGTGCTGTAGTGATCACAGCTCTGTAGCAGGTCACTCAGAGAGCACTGCATGAAGAACGCTGCGCACACCCAGCTCAAGTACAGGTTAGCTGAACTGGGCTAGAGCCGAGAAAAGGAGCCGTCAGAGCAAGTCCAATGAACTCTTCACACCAAGCATGTGGAACAAACATCTTCCCACGAGACCGGAAATACAGATTCCGTGGACACAACATCTGCTCCTGCAACAGCAGCGGGCGGGAACCAGCAGGAAGACAAAGTGTTTAGTCTGTCATGGAGGTCTGCTCTCCTTGGTTTATTTTCCCTTGTGCTCTGCTTTGCTCTAGTGCTACCTTCCAGCCACAACCCTCAGAATAACCCAAGATACGGAAGTCTCACACGAGTCCTTACGTGCCATTTGGAACATGATCACTGTTCTCCGGCTCAATACACAAGATGATGTGAGCCTGTACTCCAAGCAGCCACACACCCCTCCACAAATCAGCAACTGGCTTCCTGCCACCAACTTCTACCCCAGCCCCATCTACTCCCATCTTACAGGAAAAATCATAGAAGATTAGGGTTGGAAGAGACCTCAGGAGGTCATCTAGTCCAATCCCCTGCTCAAAGCAGGACCAACCCCAACTAAATCATCCCAGCCAGAGCTTTGTCAAGCCTTAAAAACCTTTAAGGATGGAGATTCCACCACCTCCCTAGGTAGCCCATTCCAGTCTTCACCACCCTCCTAGTGAAATAGTGTTTCCTAATATCCAACCTAGACCTCCCCCACTGCAACTTGAGACCATTGCTCCTTGTTCTGTCATCTGCTACCACTGAGAACAGCCGAGCGCTATCCTCTTTGGAACCCCCCTTCAGGTAGTAGAAGGCTGCTAACAAATCCCCCTTCACTCTTCTCTTCTGCAGACTAAACAAGCCCAGTTCCCTCAGCCTCTTCTCGTAAGTCATGTGCCCCAGCCCCATGATCATTTTCATTGCCCTCCGCTGGACTCTCTCCAATTTGTCCACATCCTTTCTGTAGTGGGGGGGCCCCAAAACTGGACACAGTACTCCAGATGTGGCCTCACCAGTGCCGAATAGAGGGGAATAATCATTTCCCTCGATCTGCTGGCAACGCTCCTACTAATGCAACCCAATATGCCATTAGCCTTCTTGGCAACAAGGGCACACTGCTGACTCATATCCAGCTTCTCGTCCACTCTAATCCCCAGGTCCTTTTCTGCAGAACTGCTGATTAGCCTGTCGGTTCCCAGCCTGTAGCGGTGCATGGGATTCTTCCGTCCTAAGTGCAGGACTCTGCACTTGTCCTTGATGAACTTCATCGGATTTCTTTTGGCCCAATCCTCCAATTTGTCTAGGTCACTCTGGACCCTATCCCTACCCTCCAGTGTATCTACCTCTGCCCCCAGCTTAGAGTCATACCCGAACTTGCTGAGGGTGCAATCCATCCCATCATCCAGATCAGCAATAAAGATGTTGAACAAAGCCGGCCCCAGGACCGACCCCTGGGGCACTCCGCTTGATACCGGCTGCCAACTAGACATCGAGCCGTTGATTACTACCCGTTGAGCCCGATAATCTAGCCAGCTTTCTATCCACCTTATAGTCCATTCATCCAATCCATACTTTTTTTAAACTTGCTAGCAAGAATGCTGTGAGAGACCGTATCAAAAGCTTTGCTAAAGTCAAGACACATGTCCACTGCTTTCCCCATATCCACAGAGCCAGTTATCTCATCATAGAAGGCAATCAGGTTAGTCAGGCATAACTTGCCCTTGGTGAATCCATGTTGACTGTTCCTGATCACCTTCCTCTCCAAGTGCTTCAAAATGGATTCCTTGAGGACCCGCTCCATGATTTTTCCAGGGACTGAGGTGAGGGTGACCGGTCTGTAGTTCCTCGGGTTCTCCTTCTTCCCTTTTTTAAAGATGGGCACTATATTTGCCTTTTTCCAGTCGTCCGGGACCTCCCCCGATCGCCACGAGTTTTCAAAGATAATGGCCAATGGCTCTGCAATCACATCAGCCAACTCCCTCAGCACCCTCGGATGCATTAGATCTGGCCCCATGGACTTGTGAATGTCCAGCTTTTCTAAATAGTCCTGAACCTGTTCTTTCACCACTGAGGGCTGCTCACCTCCTCCCCAGACTGTGTTGCCCAGGACAGCAGTCTGGGAGCTGACCTTGTCTGTGAAGACCGAGGCAAAAAACACATTGAGTACTTCAGCTTTTTTCACATCATCGGTCACTAGGTGGCCTCTCCCATTCATTAAGGGCCCCACACTTTCTCTGACCTTTTTCTTGTTGCTAACATACCTGTAGAAACCCTTCTTGTTACCCTTCACATCCCTTGCTAGCTGCAACTCCAGTTGTGTTTTGGCTTTACTGATTACACCCCTGCATGCTCAAGCAATATTTTTATACTTCTCCCTAGTCATCTGTCCAAGTTTCCACTTCTTGTAAACTTCCTTTTTGTGTTTAAGCTCACTGAAGATTTCACTGTTAAGCCAAGCTGGTTGCCTGCCATATTTGCTATTCTTTCTGCACGTCGGGATGGTTTGTTCCTGCGCCCCCAATAAGGCTTCTTTAAAATACAGCCAGCTTTCCTGGACTCCTTTCCCCCCCTCATATTAGCCTCCCAGGGGATCCTGCCCATCAGTTCCCTAAGGGAGTCAAAGTCTGCTTTTCTGAAGTCCAGGGTCTGTATTTTATTACTCTTTCTTCCTTTTGTGAGGATCCTGAACTCAACCATCTCATGGTCATGGCTGGAGACCTGACCGGTTTGTTAAAACCGGTCTTAAATATGGGTGATAAAGTAAGACCACGTCTCTCAATAACCTGTTCTGTTTGCCTCTCTCCTCTTCACCGGAGACTGTTGGAATTACATTATACTGTCCAATTCAGGGGCCTGATCTCAAAACACGATGCACTTACATGGCACTTTTGTACCAAGGTTACTGGGGCTCTAGAGCACCAAGATATAGAAATGACAACGTTCTGTTCCGAAGGAACGTGAACACGGCTGCTAGCATGCAGATCCGCATCATCAGAAGACATTCCAAATCCCATTTTAAAACGGTTTGGAATTGCAGTGGCACGCTTTCTGTATGGGACCAGAGAGCACAGAGATGATTGAAGTACCAGTATCGGTCACTGGGCTGCTCGGACCAACCCTTGGAGTTAGAACTAGTTTTCTGGCATTTCTCTCTAAGGATGTTCTGGTCCATTTTTCTAATTGGGAAGTGAATGTTCTTTTTAAAAGGTTGTTTTCATTGTGGGCTCAATGTCTGGGCCCCATCAACA